TACCCACCCATTATATGAAATTAGACAGGGTCCTTGATAAGTATGGAAACGGTTGATTATCGGTGAAAATATGCAAGGTATCGAAAAAAAGTTTTTACAATAGGGTTCTTCCATGCCTAGGCAATTATAATCTTAATTGTACAGGATTGGTGCGTAAGATGTGGCACACCCAAATTGCATTTTTTGAATTTGTGGTTCGAAGTCGATAACCCGAAAACGATTGAATTTAGGTACATTATGATTCTTACAAATTTTGCTTAAAATTGAGAGAAGAATTGAAATATCGAATAATGGGTATTCCATAAAAAAATGCAATTTAGGTGCCACACGGTTATGACCAACCTTTCATAATATAATATTGTAGACATTGAAGAACCGTAAAAAAAGCGTAGAAACCTTTTTCGATACCTTGTATATAGAGTTCCTGAAATCGACCCGTTCCCAATAATCACAATCTTGTCTAATAATCTCATGCACCCCTTAGAACGTTCAAATCTATTTCAATTAGCTTGTTCTCAATTGTTCGGTATACTATATTAGACAAATTCGCATTAAACTTTTCCATTTAATTTAAATTACGCATCCTCAAATCACTTTTCCCATATTATCAAATATCTTGCCTTTTAAAATCACCCGATTTTTATTTTAATTGCTTAAAATCTCAACTTAAAAAAATGATGTGTGGAGTGTCGCAGGGTTTAGTTGTCGGCTCTGTATTTGATTTTCATCAAAGATTTGAGTTTTGCCATTTTGCAATATACTTGTTTACGTTGACGACACAACTGCAATACAAAATTTACATGACGATACTGCTGTAGTGAGAAAGATTAAAGAACGACTTATTGACAATAGACTAAAATTAAATGTGAATGAAAAATAAGCTAGTGAAATGCACTTTTACCTTAAAGAGAGTGGACAATACAAACAATCCAAATTGTGTCAAGTTTTTGGGAGTATATTTTGATCCTAAGCTAAGTTAATAGTTATTTACATAAAAGTCAGCAAAATGATACATTACTGGCGAGGAGTGCGAGACTCCTTCGGAAAGATACGTGGGGTATTACCGACACTTCATGCTCTTTCTGGTGTAGACGAACAAGTTTAAACAAAAAAAGCTGCAATTTACTAATACTGAGCAGTATTTGAAAGGTATTGGTACAATATTGCACTGATATTTCCAGACCAGGACAAAGTCTTGGCACTTCGTCTTGCAGCTGTTAAAAAGAGGATCGTGACCCTTGATACGTTCCTGCAATTGAAGTATCTGCATAGTAAAAAATGTTCTCCTTGGTTACTTATCTCTAAGTACCAGGAAACTTACTCCATTACCATTATTAAAAAATCACAAAGTCAAACGTTTAACAAAATTGAACTTTTGTTGCCAGAGCCGGTGTTTACACTTGGGCTTTCATGCTTTTTCCATAGTTATACGAGTGAGAAGGGTCCTTCAATTCAGATAACAAAATGTTCCAGCTAGGGATCACACCAATTAACATTCTTGAAACTTGTGATGATATAGTACGCCTACGGGGGTACTACACATATTATTTACGAGACTAGGACCGTATATAATCAAGATCGAACGTCACTTAAGGTAAGTTCGTTTGATCTTATATTACACTTGTGTGTAAAGAAATGCTTAACTAAAATTTATTAGAAGATTTTAACATTTGATTTTTCTATAATATCGACATCTCTAAATCAGCGCATTACACAGCGTATAATTGGGTCAGTTGAATATTGTTGTTGGTAATAAGAAGTTTTTTTATATCAAGATACGTTAACATTTTCGTGATACTGTAAGTGCTGTAATTTTTGTAGGACCTACTTCAAATTAATATTTTTATTTTCTTGTTCGAATTCGTTTAGAGAGTCCACAAGCCACTATTTAAATGCACATAAAAGTATATCCACTGGATGCAGTGGCGGATTTAGGATTTTGTCTAGGGAGGGCCGTATATAATTTTTAAAGTTAGTATATTTAAAAAAATCATTTATTATACGTAAAAAATTCCAGTTTTCTTTTTGTATAATGCAAATCGATTTTTTCGACTTTCCACGAAATTTGCCCAATAGGTATTTTTGCACGTTACAAATCAATACTATAAAATTCTTCCGTTACTAACAAACAACGTACAGGCGTTATAGGGGAACGGGTATTATAAGTTTTACAGTCGAAACTGCAAAAGATAGAGACTTATGAAGTTGCACGTAAAACGGGAACCCGGTACCTCAAAGTTGGGAGTGCTGGGTTCCTTTTTCGTGCACAGTGATAAAGCACCAATTCCTTTTCCCCGGTCTCCGCAGAACTTGAGTTGAGTTGCTGAAAAGTAAATAATAGGAACGCAACTTCATTGTTGGTTTATTTTTCGAACGATAAGCTTTTACATTATTTCAATCTATCTATACTGTTAAAAAAATGATTTTCCTAAAAAAAAGAGAAACACAGGTGGTGTTTTAATTTATATTTGTGGTAGTGGGTGATTGCTTTGTGTTATATATGTAAAGTGCAAGTCTAACTAGTTACAATCTCATTCATATTTCATTTTAAGTGTCCTACATGATTATCATATCGTAATTAGGTATTTTATGTACAACGCACAGTATTTGAAAGCAGACAATGGCATGATGCGTCGCCAATCGACGTCACAGGGGCATCATATCATTGTCTTATTTATAAAAATGTTTGGCAGTTTCAGTTTATGTAAATATACATGCTTCCTCAGCTAGAGTCTAACATTTAACAAGAAATAAAATCTGGACAAAATACATGAACTTTTAAATATTCTACGTCATAAAATAAAGAAGCCTCTCAACATTCTTCTATACCCTTACGCATTCTAAGTCGCTCCAAAGTAGGAATAATCACATATCTTTTAATTACCATTAGTTGTTGATTTATTGCAATCAATTATTTACTTTTGATAAACCAATTATTTAGTATACAGAATCAATAGTCATTTTCCTAGATTTCTATTCGTTTACACTACTATTTTATTATAGTTTTGTTTAGACTTTCTTGTTTGTTTTCACTTTTTGTTTATCGTTTATGTAATCCAATCCGATGCTGGGAAAATCGATAGGGTAACCAATTAAGATCACACTATGTCCGTCTTTCAGACCAGTAACGCAATGTTACCTTCTGCTATAGCTACCGATAAATGAGATTGCAGTAGCATTTCCGCTAATTATGAAGTAAGTCATTAAATGCAATCAGTCTCTAAATGTCGATGGTCTCTACCCTTTACCAAACACTAGTAAACTGAAGCTATGTACTTTAACTTAAACGAGAACCCATTAACAATTTTCTATGTTGACGGGGAAATTTAGTGTCGCTTTAAAAAACGAATTTTCGTTCGAATTTTAGGATGAGATAAATGGAAGAGTTTCCATAATATCGGTTTTTGTTGACTTTTATCAATTAATCTAATGAAAGAACGCCCGTCGCACCTGGACCGCTCCAGATATTCAAATTTCATATAATAATCCTAGAATTACGCTTCGGCAATCATTTTAAGTAATTTGCATATCATTAAAGTTTACGTCGAAATTAAGCTACATAATGCCTGTTTAAGTTTAACACACAATCGGCGTGTAATTCTACCTTCCAAATTGATTTTCGTTGAAATAAAGGGGCCCGCTTGGACACCGAAACGAAAGCGTTTCATTAAACGTAATTAGTTTCGTTAATTGCGAAAAGTAAACCGCGCTCCCGAATTTTTAATTGGGTATTGATGGCTTTACATTCAAATACTTTTTTTAAATTTCTCTTTTTAAATTACGTCTATAAGTAATATAAAAACTTAATTAAGTTGAATTTTCAAGGGGCTCGTTTCCTAATATGTGCTGAGTATAATTTTTTAATTATAAATTTTCAAATTAAATCTCGATTTGTTTTCCGCCTTTTGCTTCTCGTTCGATAAGTAAAAGCAAGTGGAGATAAAGTGGTTTATTAACGAAATTTAATCTTCTCGATTTTTCTTTGCTCTGCTATATACACCCGTCTCGTCTTTATTGATGCCTTTTACCAAAATTGATGTATTTCATTTTTTCCGCTACGATTGTGCTTATGGAAGGTTCCCTTTTCACGTTGTGACCATTATCACTACTTTTCTTCTAACCTTTCATGTATGCCAATATGTCTGAAATTTGTGATATTGAATCGAAGTGCCGTAATTTAATGACTTCTTCCATTTCGAACGCGTTCTTTGTCGTCATGATAGATACTTTCGTTGTCTGTCTGCCCGTCTCCTCAATCTAAACGGCCTATAGTTTCGAAACGGAATACGTACATTTCAAATAAAGATGTAGATTGGCTACGGATCGTAATACAGGGTGCCTATTTATGTATGGAATATATAGTATATTTCATGGTAAATTTTTCTATATGAAAGTTGTTTACATTTTATTTCCCATAATAAGGCAGCATTCCATTGTTTTTATTTAAAAAAACTAATGAATCACGAAAAACAATTGAATTTTTTTAAATAGCAAGGCACACTTTTATTAGGGTCATTTGGTAGAGATTTTTGTTCTCGTTTCAATAACGTAACACGTTAGCACCCGTGTAGAAGAAATTAATTTTTATCTCCAGCTTTTTGTGATAGGTTGTGCTACTGCCTTGCAGTTAATTGTGAACATTTTGAACTTTCATTGCGATGAAACCCATTTTACTGCTAATTTCGTTTTATCTTCAAAGTTTAAAGAGTTTATTCAGTTCAAATTTCTTTGAAAAATTGTCTTGGATAAGGGTAATAACATTTTATATCATTGAAAAGAGAAAAAAAATCTCTATCAAACGAGCGTTATGAAAAGGTGCACTGCCATTAAAAAAAATTCATTTGTTTTTCGTTACTCATTTGTTTCTGAATTAAAAAAAAAAACTGAATGCTTTCGATATTTACCGAGATATATAACGGGCGATCAAAAATGAGTTGCTGTCGAGTCGCCTTTGGAAGTTCAAGTTAAGTAGGATTTTCCATGTAAACAAAAATTTTAAAGGCGGCTCGACAGCAACTCATTTTTGATCGCATAGTACTATATTCCATACATAATGGGCACCCTGTATAGTTCTTTGATAACTTCTAAGGCAGATTTGACGTCCAGTTTGAAATTCTGCGCAAATTAAGTTCCACATTATTTGCCAGTTTCCGCACATTTGTGGCTCCTTTGAATTTTAGCGTTAAAGAGTTTTCTTTAAAATGTAATACAAACGAAAAATTAGATGATTTTTTGAAATTCAAAGCTGTAGTAAGGGATTTTGAGAGTGGGTTCAAGGGTAGTTATCTTTGCCCAAAGAAAAAATACAAAATATAAATAAATAATATATTTATACTACATCCCAAATATAAGAATATGGATCATCCACTTCATTACAAAATATAAGTTTTAGCAACAATCGTTTTTCGATATTATTTACACTACTTAAACAAACCGAAATATTTTCAAGAGTATACGAAACTTATTAGGTAACGAGCGACAAACAGTGAGGTTATAGTTTTGGATTTTCTGTCCGTCCGTCCGTTAACTCGTTAACGGTTTCGAATTTTCCAATTCTGTTTTTACGAAGAGGTATACAATGATCAAGGGACTAATTGATTGAATTTTGGTCAATATTCGTCAACCGGAAGTGACTTTGTCGCTCGTTGTCTATATTGGTGAGGTTTCTTGTTTGTTGGCAATAGAATGAGTTCCACAAAATTTTGATATTGGAATTACTGACTAAGAATGGAAAACGGCCATTCAAAAAGAACTAACTTTCTATGAAAAATTATACATGGATACGTCGAATTTGTTTTTGAAGTTATATTTATTAGTAACTTTGTCGGAAATGCATTTGGAACGGCTGCCTTTTATACCGCATTTTTGGGCAATCTCGAAAAGAGGGTAGACCAAAACGTCCACACCGGACGAACATTTAATTAAATGCCCTTCCATCTTATTTCGTAACATAGAGGTGGATTGCGAATGCAAATTAGGCTATTCAAATATTGTTGATACGGTCGCCTTAAAGTGGCGCAGTAAAGAAAAAAAAACCCTCGTAAGTAGCTAAATTGGATTGCAAAACGAATGAAGCGAATGCTTTTTAACGAAAATATATGCACTACCGCGCCGCTTTCATAAAATGGAAAACCCGAACCAGCATATTTCAGGGGCTGTTTCGGGCGTATTTAAGCACGATACGGTCGAGGTTCGTTAAAGGGTGATACATCGGGCCATTGTTCACGTTTTTTTTTTTGATAACTCCAGTCTCGACTAAAATAAAAAAAAGGGCAGAACTAGCAAGAACTTTCCCACGAAACATTTTTATGGCCGGACGTATTTCATACTGTCCACATTCTCGGACCGGAATTTTTCCATGGAACTTAGTGTATTTAATTATAAACGCGTTGAATTAAACATTAAGGTAAATGAATATAGAAATCTCGCCTTTCTTTCGAGTGGCTTAAACTTTGCGGCGGCGTTCGAGTTGGTTAAGAAATTATAGCGGAAAATCTTCGGATTAAATTTCACGCCGGTTACTTTGGAACGGCGGGGGATAGACTTAATCAGAAACAAAGCTCGAAATTAGTTCGAAAAAATTATCCCGAAGCTCTGGAAACTCGGTAGATTACTATCTCTCGTAGTAAATAGGACTAGAGTTACGACTGCATGGAGGTTGAAACCGTATAAATCAAGATGAAGGGTTCTATCTTTAACTTTTCACTCAGAAACCGTTATCAAATATTTATGGTGACAGTAACTTAGTTGGTTTAGGACAGAAACGGCAACTTTTAGGGTACATGTATAAAAAATTTAAAACTCCACCCCCTCCATCAATATAAAGATCGTCCACTGCAATTCTTGTCGAACAAACGTGACGTATTTAATAAATGGAGAAACAATAAAAACGTCACCCCCCGAAACTTTATAATTAATTCCCTGCGAGCTTTTCTATTTTTTCTCGCGGCGCAAATTTCGCCTTGCAGTCAAAAGAAGAGGGATATATTTAAAATTTAAATTTTCCTTTAAAGTTTCCGTGAGAGAAAAGTACAAAGGTGATGAATTTGCAATTTTACGTACAACTCAAAGGAGCAGTAGTTATGAAATTGCAACGGCTGAATAGTGCATTTAAAATTGCATTAAACGGAATTTCAAAAGCGCATGTTTTAGACGGTGAATAAAAATTTTTGGCAAGCGTTAACCAATCTGAAATGTATTACCGTAATGGAGTGCAGAACAGTAAATGCAATTGCGAAAATACGCTTTCGGCTTTGGAGTACGTTGTGCGATATTACAAAGTTTTGATTATAAATGCAGTACGTGCTACGCTGTATCTGTTGGTAAAGCAGTTATCAACTGTTTTACCCGAAGTGTACTTAATGCTTTGCTCTGTTTGTTAATATTAAGTTTTGGTTTCAAAGCTTGCGGTTTTAAATGCTGAATTTCTTGTGAGCCTTTTTTTCCACAAACTATTTGTAACTTTTGCTAACGACCAACGTAAACTCAACTCTTGCTTGAAACTTGTTTGCCTTATTTCTGCAAAAAGCCGAACGCCCTCATATATTGAAGAGTTTTAGTTACCACCCGCATCATTTTAAATTTGTTTCTTTTTACCTTTCGACGGTGCACCTGAAGAAGTGCATTAGCACTTAGGTAATAGACAATTTTATGGGCGTCTTTATAAACTGCATCATAATATTTAATCAGGAGATTGGATCAATGTACAAAAACGTTTATGATGAAGATTAGAAATTAGGTATCTCTGACAATACGTTTTTTAAGATGAGATTGATGGCTAAAGTGAACAATTTTAGTATCAACAGAACGGCCTCTTTAGTTAAAAAAATGCCATTTAATTGCATGTCTTAGTTCAGTTCTGCTGCTGCCGAGCTTTAGAAATGATTAGGTTTAAACTAAGAAATCTACCTAGGAGAAAAACTGAGTCCTAATAAGTTAAAGCAAAACCAAAAATGTCTAAATCCAAGTGAAAAGGTTGGAAATACCTACATTTTTGTTTTCAAAAGATGGTAACCCCAATAGCAGGAGTTAGTCAACTTTCGAAAAGTTTCTTCGCAATTTTTTCGAAACCAGGGGTCTCCATAGGTCAATATAGGACATAGTATAGTTACTGCATTGTAGTTAATAACCTTGCAAAACTTAAAAGAAAATCCAAAATGCCAAGAGATAAACTAGTATGTTGAGGATTTCTTTTGACAGTGCAACTTGTTTTCACTATTGCAACTGATACGCAATTGAAATTGAACCCGTTTGCGATTTTTAATTAGTCCATTGCTTGTATTTCAGAATAAACTGTCATGATGGTAGCCAATGTCAGTATGGTATCCCCGAAGTAGACCCATCAATCGTTGGGCATTAAGACATTGAATAGTTAAGATTCAGGGAACGACTTTAAAATTATTTTTAGCTTTGACTTCGACGCTAGAACAAACGATCTGCCCGATACGATTTGAACTAGACGATAGCCAAAAACATATAATCAATGCGAAATAAATGCTAGGAAACTTTCATAAATTGACTGTTCTGATTTAATAAAGGGAAATTGGACCCAATACTCTTCGGTTTTCCCGTTTAAAAACTTTTAAATCATAAGCTGTATAAAAAGTAACAGATTATCTAGCTTTATCAGAGCACACCACTTATCAAAGTTTAAAATTCGTGATCAAAATATAAAACGCGCACCCTTACGACGCCAGTGTATCAAATTTATTTATGAGCATTGCGGATAAAATATATCCGTAAGGCTTCGGAGTACTCCAAACATTTTTTTATTCACTCTCCCTACATCTTTTAAACTTCCAGCATCGGATTAGTTTAATTTATAGCGAAAATTATAAAACGGAACGTTTGTTAATCTTATCACATCTCGGCTATAACGAGTAAAAGTTTTGAGGTTGAACGTATAAATATTCAAATGGGGCCTACCACCTGCGCAAACTTATCGAAGTTCCCTGAATTAATAATTCGAACTGGGACACAGTTAAGAAAACAAATCAAAGGGGGAACGAAAAACGTGTTAAATCATCACGCCGGTCCTTTGCACTTTTAAGCAATACTGCGCCAATAGTTCTAACACATAATTCACATTTAATTCAAATTGTTTATTTGGCACGTTTCAGGAGCGATTGTCTTAGAAAAGTTCAACATTAGCGTTTTAGATTTGGAATTAAAAGTTAAAGTCAGTTTTCGTTACACTTTCGGATTTTTGCACACACAACAAAGCGTCACCAACCCGCATATCACAGAAAGGCACCAATAGATAAGAAGTGAGCAAGGGGACGGAGGAGCCCGAAGAAAGCTGATCTCATACGGTCGTTTCTCGGTCAACATGTATGTATTCTACGGGGGGTGCTTTGTGTCAAGAGTTAATACTGGAATCTAATAGACGAGGTCCCGTCAAAAGCTTCTTCTTCGCTAGTTTTCTTCTTCTCCTCACTCTTATTCGATGCGCCGTTAGGCATAGTAATAGCAGAAGCGAGACAGCAACGGCGCCCGCGGCTGCAATTGTGGCCCCTGGTAGCGAAGTTAGGAGTCGCGATGCCGATCCGCACTGAGATTCCGATTCATCCCAACCCGAAGGGCAGTGATCTTTACCGTCGCACCATAACGACGGATTGATGCACGCGTCCAATTCGGGGCAACGATGGAGGCACTGCAACTCCGTGTCATTATCACTGGTGTTGACAGGAACTTGCAGCTGCTGCAGTAGCGACGCCTTAGACCTAGAAATTTCGAGCCAACTGAACGCGCCCACGCCCGGTTCGCCCCCAACCCATTCGACAAGAAAGTTAGGCGTCCGCGACTGTAGCATTCCATCACCCCACCACTCTTCACTAAACACGTGAACTGCCAAAGGTCGAGCGCCAGGTTCTGCAGGACACAACGCGCGCACTAGACGTGGAGGTTTTCCAGAATAAATTAGCACTCGATTCACGGTAGGGCAGCGCGTGGGTTCCTCCAGTCGCGGTTTAAGCGGCAAAAAGGCACCCCACGACAACAAAAACAAACTTCTATTACTTCTGGCTTCCACTAACCACGGCAGGCCAGAGCACAACAACTCTGGCCGTTCAACAGGAGGACTGGCGAAATAAACGTCGCCTCCGAACCCTCGTATTCTCTGCTTTCTTGGACATTCGGCCATACTCACCAGTTCAAAAGTTGCGTGAAAATATAAATCGGTAAAGTCCTCGGTTATATTCATATCTTTGGCAGTGAAATGTAGTTCTAAACTTCTAGATGAAGATAGGAACACGATCGGTTTATTATTTAAAGTAGTATTATCACATAAACATGCCCTTGGCATTCTAACATCTTTCCACGGCAGCTCCCACACGCTCAGCTCCACTGTGCGCCCCCCGCTTTGGTAATCGCAAATTGCACGCCCACTGTGTGGATCAGTGGATGTCGAACACAAAGTGTTCATTCCAAATGATGCGTTATTTAACACTAACCGTACGCGCTCGCCCGGGTTGGCTTCCAAGCGATACACACAATGAAGATCATTGCTGCCTCCACGGCCGTACAAAAACACGTTTCTAGGCGACATAAGTTCTCCCACGTGACCCTTCCGAAAAACACGATGACAAGGACCTGGGGCATCTTTAGCCGGCCAGGCCTCTCCCCCGATACGCGTATCCACAAACTCGTACTTGAGTTTGAAACCGGCTGGATGCAACGCGGTGCCATCCTCGGTGTGATGCTGCAGAACTAGGCTTCTCCCAGTAGACAGGTAACTTTCCGACATCGCGCACGGTCTTGTAAACCTGGTGGCGTTACTTAGAGCGCTGTGATCACATAGTCTTGGTGGTTCATCGCATTTGTCCTCTAGTAAAACATTTCCATCCCATATTCTCAACTTTGTGGCACACCCTCCGCTGGTCGAGCTATTGCCGAGAAGTACATGCGCACTTTCGCCAACCAGAAGCGCACGCTGACTGTACGAAGTAAAACTCAACCAAATAAGGTCACCAGGATAGCCTTTAAATTTATACGTGCACGTTGTGTTCGGAGGTAAAGAATGGCGAGGACTGATCAATCGGCCTTTACGTCCTCGTCCGGTCCATATATCGTCACCGTCCGGATCTGTAGCGTTTACATCAAACTCGCAACCTAAAAGCTCATGCGAGTAGTCTAACGAGTCGGAGTCGGCGAAAATGACATCGACGTCGAGCTCAAATCCCCTCAGCGGCGATTGGGAGGGAGGGGAGTGAAGCGGAATGCTAAAGGGGGACGAATGGAAAGCTACGAGCATTTCGGGCCCTCGCGATACGACTCGCGGCAACCAGTCTCCGCCGCAATACTTCGCGAGCACCGGATCATTCGTTGAACCTCCGTCGTAGAAGATTAGATGGTCGCGCTCGCCCGTACAGTCCCTCCAAGCTCTTAACGCCCGAACTGTCTTGTTAAGACCGAGGACGCTTATCGACCTTTTCATGTGCATCTTATGCGCCGCCTCCTGTCGTACGGCAATCATCGCGTGCTTACACGTCGGCACGACCTTCTGACGCAGACTCCAATAGCACGAAACGTTGCGCGGGTACATGCCGGGATAGTTGGGGGACTGTAGGCGGCACGGCTTCCGGTAGCACTCCTCGAATTGCCGCGTGCAGTAAGTACCTGGCGCCACCTGACCGCGTTCCAGCGGCGACGCGGGCGAACCAAAGCGAACTATCGCTTCTTGGCGCGAAACGAACCGAAATCGCAAGCTGAACTGAAAGGGCTGCTGCGGCGAGGCGAATAGCTTGACGGAAGCAGTCACCGTTGAGGTTTCGCTGTAGTAGGCGGCCGGCCCGGATGAAGAACCGCACCAGGAACCGCCGGTAAATGGACGTCCCAATTCGCTTAGCTGCATGTAACCATCCGGACAGCCGTCCAGTGCTTGCGATTCGTAGCGGCCGACTTTGAATTCGTCGAAGATTAACTGAAACAATGATTATTGAGTTAATGATGGCACACAGCTTGTGCTTTGTACAGGACATCCAATATCGTAACATGCTATATGTTTTTCACATTTGGTTGGGTTTTTACTTCTATTTCGAGATAACTTTAGAATGGAATGTGAGATAAGGTGTAGAATTATTGAAGGGGCGAAGTGGAAGATCTAACCGAATAAGTGATGCGCGAAGAGGAAATCTACTACATTTGCTCAACTTCTGATTCTAGGATTTTCTGGTAAAAGGGTGATTGCCATTTGCCGATACATGAGTAGAGTTTCGAGAAAACGGACTCAACCATGACTTGTTAAAGGTGATGGAGGAAGCTTTACCGACACAAGTGCATACTTAGGGTAGTGGGAAGCCACCCCTACCCACTTAGTTGGGTCGGACTCTGAGGAGTCTGAAAAGTAGGAAAAGTATTTGTATTTGTGATGTTTCGTTGAATCAGTACTTAATTGAACGGACCGTTTTAGCGATCTATATAAGTGTTAGTGCAATTCGCGTTATGATTATATCTACATACATAGGTACAATGAGTACCTATAGTCCATTGCATTGTTGAATATTCGCATTTATCATTTGCATGTGATGATCTGACCGCAAAAACAATTCCTTATAATATTTGGCTCTCGCACTTATATCCTTTGTAAGTTAAAAAAACTGTGTTCCAGTGATTTAATTGAATAGATTTATGGATCTAGATAAAATACTAAGAATCGTCGGGGTGTGGGTAAATCTTTATTCACCCTTCATATAGCTGAAGAATAAAGGCGTGAACTCAAATTACCCATTACAAATGAATTTCAGACTCAATTACGAACGTTTAAGCTGCAAGTTTCATTTCTGTATTGTTATAACGACATTCAAAGCGCTACATTAACATTTACGGATGTAAGAAGAATTAATTACGTCTTTAGAGCGATTCATTTTGTTCTTATTATTGAATAATGTAATCGAAAGCAGGTGTCCAGGTTTTAAATGAATTGTCCAATGGTCGTTTCGTATTAGGAATGATTTAAGATTCATACACAATAAACTAATACTAAGGATCGTACAAGAAGAGGTAGAATAATCGTTTCACATGATTTAGATGCAGAATTTATATCTATAACTTTTATTTGAAGTATTTTTGCGTAAAATAATTAGGAAACGTTTGCACAAAGAAAAAGTAATTTCCCACGTTAAAACGCCTATGTTTCACTTTTCGATTTACACCATGTACTTCAAAATGTTCGTTTCAAGTATAAAGTGAATGTAGCGAATATTCCGTAAATGTTGATTGACATCGAGGCACCATGAAAGATAAAGAACGAAGGCGGGCGGAATTACGTAATCTTCCCTAGAAAATATGATCTGTTTGTTCCAGAGCATTCCGAAGCGCCCTTGAGCACACGAGAACATTCTAAAAAGATTGTTGTTTGTCATATGAGCAAATTGAATCGTAATTTCGAGTTCAGTTCCAATATCGAGGCGCTTGAGTTATGTTACAAAGAGTGAGTGTTAAATAATAATTAGGTACTGTTATAAATTAACCCATTTTAAGACCGTTTTCAATTTACGTTACAATTTGATTGCAAACAGATGGACAACTAAAATAATGAAGGCTTTTCGTATGCTTTCCCCAAAATGGTAGCAGTTTTTTTAGTTTTAATATGCATTTTTTTGAGACCTTACTAACCGTATAGAATAATATACATATATAATAATTTATCTACCAATCAAATATTTTCATAGATGGTACTTAAAAAATAGGAAATGCGTTCTAGGTACGGGTACAGTAAAATAAAATTCGTATTGAAGAACCCACCCGCTCCCACCTGCCAATAACAAAACATTAATTCGCAATTTTATTAATGAACAATTTTGATTGGCGATGACAAAAAAAAAAGGAAACAGTATTAGATTATTAACTTCTGCTGTTAAATAAAGTAAAGTTATAGTAGTCAAATACGATACGACGCATATATGAAAGTATAAGTTCTATTTGATTAAGAAGTAAATGTCTCTCCCATCGCACATTACAATTCTCCAGGGAACGTAAGGAACTCAACTCCAATATCAAATCTAATAATAGTAGGTAGTGTGGGTACATTTTTAGCGATCTTTTTGGAGATTTCCATATATAGAAGTTCGCCCCGCTTTTGTGGGATTTTCTTTTAAAATTGATTTAAATTGCGTATTACCGAGGCTAACTATCCAGTTCACGTATATGCAATCTTTCAAGATGCATTCCACGTAGGTAACTAAAATAAAAGCTATGAATCATATCTAAATATGCGCCCTTAGAAAACCAACTTTCAGGGCAGCTGGTGTGCTCCGGAATACTTTATAAAGAGAGCCCAACTTTAGCAATCAATCAAAAACTTAATCGCCTTTGGATAAGGAAACAGTAGTAGGAAAATTAATCGACCGGGAAAGATGTAGATACACAGGCTAGTCAACTTTAAAGGGTAATAATTTGTATCCCGGTGTGTCCTTGAGCCATTATCCTTGATTAATATGACGGCACTGTGGCTGCCGCTCTACGTTGACATCAATCTTGCGCTTTTTACTTAACAGGTACCGGCATTAGGTGTAGTCCCACTTTAAATTTAATTCTTTCCACAGGATGAATTTACGAAATCCACAAAAATTGTTTTTATACAGTTCGTAATTCAAATTTGTACATGGTTCAGTGCGCTCCTCCTCAACTTCGATTGGGGGAACAGAACTTTTGTTTTTAATTAAAAAAAGTATTCCCTTCGTTTTTTAAATTTAATTTATTGAGAATCCAACGCCCTGATGACATTTTAGGAAAATTATGCTTAGCTTTGATTAGGTATAATAAAACAGTACAGTCGTCACCGAAAATCAACGTTAATCGTGACAAATAGTTGCCATTGTTGAGCGTGTCAGAAAGGTCGGGACTGCGTGTAGTTCTATTTCATCCGAAAACACTAGAGATCCCCCTTGCAGAGGGATAAAGTGAAGTAGATAAGAGACCTTATTTAGTTTTTGACAGAAACGTTGTCTCTCGATACCAACAACGAAGTTTTATTAGGAGCTGAGGAAAGTTAGTAAATTTGGGAATGGAATGGATTCCCTTTTATTATCCTTGGGAGACAGTTAAAGCTGAGTAGATGAAGGAATCATTTCCATCGTTGTTGGAAGATTCAGGGCAATTTCTGATGTATCGATCTAAGAGTGTCAAATGGGCTCGGTCCATAGTAAGATTTTGCATTGATTCGGAGCTGGGTTACCAAAGCAAATAGTGTTAAGTAAAAAAAAGTACATTTGTTCTCTGAGAGATTTTTCTCGGGTAGCTAATGCCCGGAACTTTTAGAACAGATTCGGCCGGGAACTACCAAGAAGAAATCACGTAGTTTCGTCACGCAATAATTTCGTTTGAGCTTTTGCCAGAGTGAAAGTTGCTGTTTTTCGAACTCCAAAAAACCAAGTTGTGATTGCCGGTAATGGGCTCATCCCGCCTTCATTTTTTTATTTCTGATCTACAAAGTACATTAAAAATAAAAAGACCCGTGTGTCCTCAATTTTTATTTGCGAGTAAAATAAACCCAAAATAAATTATTGAAAAGCTGTGTTTTTAGTTCGAATTTGAAACGCTTCAGACTAAATACGTCACAAACCTACAACCAATCACGTAGAAGTGAGCTGGCAACCTTACCCGAGGGTCTGACGTTTGTCACATTTGACGTTTTGAGAGGGATGTTTAACTGCATCTAGCACGAAAGCACAGCCGTCTATAATTACAAGCCATGCTGAGAAGTTTGGCAACGTTGTTCGAAAGTCAATCGGTGGGCCGATTTATTTTAATGGCGTCTTGTTGCTCTTGAAAAATGACATTTTCCTCTCTTCTGTGTTTCGCCTTGGCGGTTTTAATATAGAAGAAAGATACTTAGGCAGCTTACAATTGTGCATATACATAATTAATTAATTAATAGTAGAGGTTAATTATTAATAACAACTTGTATCTGTCAAATAAACAAACTAAAAAAACAATTGGACAATGCTGATTAAGTAGTAGATTGCTAGATTTGTACACAGATTAATCGTTTAATGTAAAAAATAAAACAAATATTAGCTCGCTTATTAAATAACTTTTACTAAGGTGTTTTGGGGTTTGTCGACTACTTTTGAGCTGTACTGCCGCCCCTTAAAAGGATACGAGAAGACCGTAAACACCCTGTATTTCAGTATATCGACGATAAAAATTGATCAAAATAGAACAACTAATGAACCCCTAATCGTTCACAACAATTAATGGCAGCACTAGTTGATTACCTATCAAAAATTAATTCCACCTATTACTAATGCAAAAAATACTTTAACTTTATGCGGGAAATTCAAACGATCATCACTTTCAAACAATCATTCGGTACAAGAAACAGGAGTTTTATAAAACGTCGTGTAAACAATTTTCCTGCCATAAACACAAGGACTCACCCGTTCAATTATTTAATTTTCCGCATCAACGTCTTTGAAGGAGAACCGCCTACAGCCTATTCTTTGTATCAAAATCGTGACCTACAGTATGAGGTACTGTTATCTCATTTAATTAAAATTAAAAGTTGGTTATCTTTAAGAAAATCATGGTGTTATAGTGACACCCTGTATTTGGTCGAATACGCATAATTTCCACTTAGAAATTGTGAAGGCGGGAAACGTTCGTACTTTCCTTTTAAGCTTGAGCTAGCGTTGCGGAAGGTCGTTAATATTTGTGCGTGTTAGTTTATGCAAGTAAGTTTTTAAATTATTTATAATATTTGTTATTTACAAGCTAACTGCTGTATATTGTTAATCAGCAAGTAAGTTCTTGTAAAATTGCTACGGCATGTGCTTATCAATGGGTTTACACTAGCGTCTTTTACGCTTGTCTCGTATCTATTTTTTCCCATTGACAAAGCCCTGTCTATATTTGCCAATCATACCACCTACTAACTTACCTTAATAATTAGGAGAAAAGCTCACCGCGCAAGAAAACTTT